GGGTAGAACTGGAAAGAAAGAAAGGTTGAGGATAGAGGAAGTTGGAGAATGATGTTCGGCGACCTATCCTCCGTTAGGGGTAACAAACATAAGTAATTAAGTAAGTAGATTAGTTAACTGTTGCTTTGCGAGATATATTATTCTGATACTAATAAACAAGCGTCTTATTTGCGGAACCCATCGGGTACTTGAGTGAGAAGGAAGCTTTGTATAGGTCAGTCGAATCGAGAGATAAGTATATATTTATATATTTACATATATATCCCTTAGAAATTCAAGCTACGTTTTACCTCCAAAGGGATGTGTCTCATTATTTAGAACAGAAATCCACCCCCTAGGCAATCACATGGTCTTAGTATTTGATCGATATTCGATCAATCCGCTGTATCATTAGCCCCAATGAAAATGTTAAAATTTCATAAAAAGAAAACCAATAGTCAAGTAATAATTATCCTAGTTTATGATTAATAATATTAATATTTTCATCATCGACAAAGAAGATTATTCATTCAAAGTAGGATTCAATGCCATTGATGCACAATATAAGTGAAGAGATTGCCAAAGTCAAATGGCAACTGATCATGCATGACATCAATGTCAATAAAATAGTAATTATAGTATGATTATTTTAGAATCTGTCACAATACTGCTTGAATCAATTTCTAATCTATTTACAAATGATGCATTATAAAAGCATGCCAATTATTCTATGTAATGATTATATTTGACAGGACAAATAGACTATTTGCACAATAATATTATACCATAAATGCGAGACAAAAAACAACAACTTAAGATTACATTCTAAAAAAGGTTTGAACACTTTATATCATAATAATTATGAAAAGAAGCACGGAGAATACTTTAAGTTTTTCATTACACCTATACTGTTGGTTTTAATCATAATGGTTATGAGAATGATCTGGTGTTCATACAGTCAGTCAGCTGCAACGTAGAACTTGGTACGTAAGTAAATCAATTCTTGTTGCCATACCACATTAGCACACAGACGCAATTGTCAATTCAAATTCCATAGTGGTAGAGATAGTAGAAGTACTAATGGTAAAGGAGAAGATTAGGGTACCAAGATATTATTGAAGAAGCATAATCAGTGAGAGATAAGTTTAGGGAGACAAAGGTAGAGGTGTTGACCAATCCAGAAGATTAGAATTTGAGAGAATACAACAGGCATCATTATCATCAGATCTGACTTAAATGGCATTGGGATTTAAATTTTTTGATGGTCATAACAAATAACCAATAAATTTGAAATTTAGGTCGGTTCAATCGAATAAACTGAAAATAAATGAGCTAAATAAAAGACATCGGTAAATGACTAGGTTTAACTACCATTCAAATGTAAGAGTTTGGCGGTGTAGGTTGTATGTATTTAATTCCACCTGGAGCCTCTTCGAGGCTACTCCCGGTTCCAAGCCCGGATAAAGTAAGAGGGTTAGGCTTGGGGTTGGTGACTCCATCCTGTAGAAAACTCACTCGATAAAAAACGCTAATACGAAAAAATAATTTGAACCATGCAGTTAGGTCTCATTTTGGAAGACTTATGACGTCTCATATAAGAAATCCGAGTTCCTTCGGAATTCACGTGACCGATACCCTTTCTTACAACCACATCCGTTCCACGGAGTGGGCAGACGGTAAGTGGCATCCGCCCTCATACCCGTGAAAACACACGAGACTGACTGGTTAAGTATGCCCAACCACCGACTACCACGACAAGCGATGTATTTCAATGTAGGAGTAGGCTGGAAGAAAGCTAGGGGCGATCGGATCAAAACATGGCACAGACCCATGAAGTTACTGACAACTGAACTGAGCCATGTTCATGGGTGTAGATTACCTGATTGGGGAACGCGAGACGATCGTAACCAATGTTTGGAGACTTTGCGGCGAAGGAAGTTTTGTTGAGAGAGTCTGAAATTAGTTTCTTCAGTATTTCTAGAGCCAACTTACCTTCGAAATCGCTGTTCGTACAAATAGTTTTCTTTTCTAAACAAGATATTGTTTTAAAAGGCTTAGGTCTTATGTTTTTATCAATAAACCTCATTTCGTCATCTATGACCTTTGATCTGCGTGTAGCGAGGGATATAATTAATATTCGCTTTTGACTAACAGGGAGGAACCAAATGTGAAAGCTTGATAGCGATAGCCGACGAGGATTCACCCATTTACAGTAATCTATTAAACATTAGTAATTAACTGTTAGAAACCTGTCAGACTTACAGTGCTTCAAATGATAGTAGCAAAAACTAACTGGATTAAAAGATCAGATCATTGTGCACAAAAAAGTATATCCAACCGCTTCTTTCATTTAGTCAACTTCACACCTGATAAATCAATAGTCCTCTTAGTCATTAGATGACCTGATTTAACCTACGTATATGAAGTGATATTATTTATAGTGTCGTAACTTAAATTTATTCAAACATTATTATTATTTTGGGGCAGAGTTTTGGAGGTTTGCGTTTTTACACATTTGAAATCATCAATCAATCATTGTTAGACCACCATTAGAAACCTGGAAGCACTGGACGGCCGTTTCGTCCTGGTATGGGACTCATCAGCAGTGCGCATCCACGACTCCTGCTCCTCGCAGGATTCGAACCCGGGTCTAACAATGATTGATTGATGATTTCAAATGTGTAAAAACGCAAACCTCCAAAACTCTGCCCCAAAATATCGTAACAGTGCTCACTAGTGACTAGCTTCGTGAGGAAATTCTCGGAGTTCTAGTTGAGAAGACGTGACCAATGAAGTTCAACCCTGTCGGGTGTTGGCAGTAACTACCAAAGAAAAATGGGTGAGGTAGCGCAAAATCCCTAGATCAATCAGAGTTAGACATTAACACCTTCGGATGCTGGCCCAGTAGTCCGGTGGTAAGGCGTTTGCCTACAATGCCGAAGGTCCCGGGTTCGAATCTTGCGAGGAGCAGGAGACGTTGATGCGCACTGCCGATGAGTCCCATGAGTCCCATACCAGGACGAAACGACCGTCCAGTGATTCCAGGTTTCTAATGGTGGTCTAACAATGATTTATTGATGATTTGAAACTATTATTATTACCATCATCAGCATTCACATATCTTTGATTAGTATTAGCATAAAGGATCTAATTAGTACTCATCCTTCCTAACCAATCCTTACTTAATCGATATCCATTCTATGTGCCGCGCAATCTTTGACTAACCATTCGATCGAGTTTGTAGTTATATTGTTTTGCTGCTTCACTTTGTATTATTTTGATGTTAGAATAATAATTGACTTAAAAATTAATTTAGATTAACATAGGCACACTAGTTGTTAATTCAGCATTAACAGCTCTTAATTCATATGCCATAATTTTGTAAGATTTTTTTATGGCTCTCACCCTTGTAACATTGATTCAAATTTATAACTGTGGTACTTGATAACAAACAATTTATTGACCAAATAGTAAATATGTCCATTATAAACTCCTAGAAACTGTTCAGTTTATTGTTTAAATCAACTAGATAAGTATTGAAAAAAAATAATACAGATTTACTAGAGACCTATTTTGTACATGCATAAGGCGCCTCATAAATAAGCCTAAACAAATTCACTGAGAATCAAAGCTACAACCTTAAGACGACTGAATTGGAATCCAATATATTTTGAATTACTAAGTGCAGTTCATTTATAATATCATGTGGCTATAATACAATGTCACTGGTGATAACTATACTCAGTATAGTGGATGAGTACTGTCTAGGTGTTTTTAACACAACAGTCGACAACGGTACAAGGAAAAATGAAAGCAAAGAAACCGGTGAAAACGACCAATCAAAAACAAGATTACCAAGATGAACTGATTAGATGATTGTGGCATTAGGAGCCGATAACATTGTCCAGAACAATGATAATAAAAGTAGCTTTTTTTCAATGAGAGTGTGATGGAGATCATTGTTTTCACATATTGAAATCATTAAACAATCATTTTTAGACCACCATTAGAAAGACATGACCAGTGGAGTTCAACCCTGTCGGGTTGAAGAAAAATTGGTGAGGTCGTGCAAAATTCTTAACTTGATCAGAGTTAGCGATTAATACTGTGGAATACCGACTCAGTGGTCCAGAGGTTCAGTCAGTCAGTCAGATGCAACGTAGAACTTGGTACGTAAGTACATCAGTTCATGTTGCCATACCACATCAGCACAGAGAAGTAATTGTCAATTCAAATCCAATAGCAGTAGAGGTAGTAAGGGAATTAGAAGTAATCGGAGAGATTAGGGTTGGAAGATACTATTCAAGAAGTATAATTCAGTGAGAAAAGTTTAGAGAGTCGAAACTAGAGGTGTTGAAGAATGAAGAAGATTAGGATTTGAGAGAAAACAAAGAATAAATGCACCGGCGCCATTGCGAACGATTTTGAGCCATGTCATTCAAGGTCTCTAACCATCGATTATTATCATCTCGCGGACCCCAACCAGGTAGTCGACAATTACCGACATGGCTCAGTCCACTAGTCAATGACTTCATGGATTTCTGCCATGTTTTGGTTTGGCCGCCTCTAACTTTCTTCCAATCTATTCCTACACTACAAAACGAGGCTCGACGAGGCAGTCGGTGGTTCGGCATACGCAACACATGTCCCAACCACCTCAACTGGTGAAGTTTCAATACTTCATCGATTGATCTGCCATTCTTACCTAGCACCCGATTCCTAATAACTGCGTTGCTCACTCGGGTGTCCCACAATATACGAGCAATGGTTCGAAGACTCCTATGATCGAAAACCAGTAACCTACGAATATCTTCTACTCTCACTGGCCATGTTTCATGTCCAGAGGTTAGGCGTTCTCACACAAGATCGGATGTCCTGGGTTCGAGTCCTGAGAGGTGCAAGTGTCCTGAATGCGCACTGCTGATGAGTTCCATACTGGGACAAAACCGCTGTCCAGTGCTGCCATCAAACATGGAAGAAAAAAAATACAACAACACAGAAAAATATAATCTATTTGATCAATAATAATAGTAATAATAATAATAATACATGCGTAAAAAGTGTAGGCCTAAAAAAAAACCAAAAACTTCAACAAATGAATTAGTGTTGTATAAAAAAAAAGGAAAAACTACTTAATTACACACCACTGAACATGCGCTTTCTGATTAGCCGTTTTATTATTATTATTTATTTTTATTCACAGAAAAGGTAGAAAAACTAAAACAAAACAAAACAAAACAAGGGCATGAAAGTGTACAAAACACATTGTCTCATGTGAGGAGAAAACTCAATCGAAACAATCCAATGCTCACTATCAAAATATTCTCATTTCATTTAGCAAGTGTTGACTGCACACGCTCTCTCTCTCTTCTTAATTGTCATAAACTATTGACAAGAACAAGAACAGAAAGAAAAAAATAATAATACAAAAATGATTAATTAACCGGAGCGTATAAACTTTGATTTTTCTGTTTTTTTTTTCTTTTATCAACAACGAAAAAAAAAAGGCATCACAATGAATTGAAAAAAAAATGTTAGGTAAACAGGAAAAATAAGGAACAAATTCACTGGTTCAACTGATTAGAAAAAAAGAAACATTCTTGTCATTGGCATCATTCAAATCAGCATCTTCCATTACAAAATATCAGCGCATTCTTAGTTAAATTTGTTCCCCCCTTTTATTTATTTTTTAATGAAATGAGCGTATTTGTTGTCATTGTTGATGTTATTGAAAATTTTGTACAAACAATTCACTGTTATTTGGGAAAGTGTCAATGGATCCTTCTCGTTTTCATAAAATCAAAATTTATTGCTGCTACTACTACTATTGCTACTGCTCTACAACACGAGAACATGATTGACCATAACGGAAGGAGGAGATGATGGTGGGCAGTAAAAAAAATGCTCCTATTGTATACAATCTGCAGAATTTCCTCTTTCAAACTAATCATTATTTCATTTTGCTGATGACAGTGTTCCTGTTTGCACACACAAAAAAAAGAATTCAATTTGAAAAATAACAAGAAATAACATCAACAACAAGAAGGAATAAACGATGACTGAATAAAAAAAAATAAACCAATAAAATAAACGAAGGAGGAGAAGTTTGGCGCAAATAAAGTAAAGAACATCCATGGAAAAAAATGTATGTGTATTCTTGTTATTACATGTGTTCATGATAATAATAATAATAATAATATTAATAGATGAGATAGTGTATTGGCGCATACATACGTAAATGTGTGTGTGTGTGTGGGGGTGGGGTGGGGTGGAAACAGTAAAACATCTCTCTTTTTGCCATTTTTCAATAATGTAAAAGTAAATTTGATGCATTCGGTAAAAAATAAAAGAAAGGAAAAACACACACACATACACACACAACAAAAAAAAACAACAAAATAAAAGGAGAAAACAAAAATAGATCAAAATAAAAAAATGAGAATGTTATCATCTTGAATAGAAATATATATATATATGTATATATGTATATGTGTATGTATATATGCGTATATATATGCGTGTCTATGTGTATATGTGTACGTATCATTCATCATTTCATGAATACTTGGATCGTTTAGCATATTTTGGAAGCACATTAGGTGAGCTTTGAGATTCAGCTGTATTTTTATAAAAAAAAAAGTGAAAAAAAACAATAAAATTCAAATGATTAATTAATTAATTAATTAATCAATCAAAATGACAGACATAAAAACACCAAGACACAGAACAAAACATATCAGATTAAAGTTGGATTGATTTTCAAACATAAAGAATTGCAGAGGATGGGGATGGAGGTTTGAAACTCAACATCGTTCAACATCAGAGTCTAGACAGTGGAGCGCTCTGTCTGTGATATCGAGATTTCTATTCAGAAACAAAACAATTTGAAAAAAATGTATCAATAAAAGAATTTACTTAGTCGTTTCTTTTACTATTAGTCTCAAACTCCATGGAAGCCCGTGTCGACACCGTAATCTCTGAACAGTCGGGATTTTTCACAAACAATTTTGGAGTATTCATTATTTTCAAATTTATTAATGCCAGTTAAAGTTACCATGCCGATTTGCAAGCAATTGTCAATTCAAATCCAATAGTAGGAGAGGTAGTAGAAGTAATAGCAGTAATCAAAAAGATTAAGGATCGAAGATATCATTCGAGAAGTATATCCCAGTAGCTGTTAGCCTTGACGTGGTGGTCGAGCTTGACTATCGTGATGACTCATCCGAGCTATATTGGCTGGAACATATGTTCCTGAAGGTTTTGCCATGCCAGGCAGGTCCATTGGAGAACGGTAAGACTAAAAGCAACAACTCAAGGTTTGAGGGCGAAGTCGTGCTGCTGACTACTGAAGAGGGATGTGACAGCAGTAAGGTGTTTCCCTCGGACAACCAGCATCTGCAGCGATGGTGCCATCTCACAAGTAAAGAAGGGTTAGAAAAGGTCGACCCTAAAAATGTTACACCTCACCTTATCTCACGGATTCCCGTCTTCGGCGGTAAGGCCTTTTAAGCAAGAGCGGAACTAACACTTTAAAAACTTCTTATAAGAAAGCCGTGCGTGACCGGCCTCCAGCATTCGCTAATCTAACTTCTTTTTCAAGTTCCCTATGAAACATAATTCTGCGGTGTAGGCAGCCCGGAAGTGACATCTACCCCCCATACTCATAACAGCACACAAGACCGAATCGGTCATAACCAAATCCTTCATACACCTCCAAATAACCCTCTTATTTCCATGATTAATCAATCTTTAATTCTTTTGTCATTTCACGCCGCTGATGCATATGTTTCAAGTACATAAAACATTGTATGTATAACAAGATACCGCATTTTTCACTTTGTTATTAACATATTGATTTAAATTTTTTTTCACAAAAAAAGGAGAGTGAACCACACACAGCTAAGTGTGATTTAATACAGTTAATGAGGAAAAACAAACAACAATAATAACCGACAATCTTGTTTATTTTTTTTTTGTTATTCAAGTGTATAGATACTCTGTTAGTCTCTTTCGCTTTATAAGCGATTTTTCATAAGAATTCTTTGATATTTATAAATTTTAATAAGGCAAAAAAATTAAGAACAATTTGTTTTTTCCGCTTACAATCTGCAATCACATAATTACAGTGATTGTGTTATTTTTTTTTATTGAAAAAAATCGACATGAATACATACATACATGTATACATGTGTAAACTTTGGTTAGCTGAGTTTACAAATTTACGGTAACAATATGTGAATAACGGAAATACTTAAATCACCCACAGTCCATGCGAGTTCAATTCGAAGTGAATGTGAACATGTTGCATCCAGTGATAATAGAACTCTCGACCCCTGGTTTATTAGACTAGTGCTCTAACCACTGAGTTATGGAGGCTCTGGAGCTCCTCTACGGCTACTGCCGGATAAAGGAGGAGGGTTGGACTACCCCTGCCGTAAGCAGCTGACCCGCTAAAATACGTGAACCAGAAAAATAGATTAAACTATGTAAACTCTGCCCTAGGAGTTAAAGTCTTCATTTAGAAGAGTTATGATGTCTCACAATGACAGCCGAGTTTGTTCGGAAGTCACGAGGTCGATGCCCTTTCTAAAAACCAGGGCAACTATTAATGTATTAAGTACATGGAATATTCGTACAATGTAGGAGACCAGAAGAGTCATTTAAGTTGTTGAAGAAAATCAAAAGTTTTTACCATAACTTCCAATCAAAGCATACGATTTTGGGTTATTGACGAAAATTGTGATATTTACACTATTTAGGGTGAAGTTGTATAGATATCACCATTTTGATTCATATACCTCCTATCTAACCATGTTTGTCAAACATAGTGTATTCCCTGTTGTAAACCGTTTACTTTGTAATGGGATTAGCGATTTTGCATAGATCTTCTAGATACACCATTATGACGAAGAACACACGATTGGTTAAACAGATACATTCATTATTATAACCAATTGTATCAGTGATTGTGTTACTGAACTTTCCACTTGCTTGATTGCCATCTTGTTCATACCGCTCGTTGTATCTTCGCCCCTTATTTCTCTGACACGATTTCGGTATTCTTTTAATACCAAAAAATCGCTAGCAACTGTATGCCTTTGTCTGAATTACATCTTCTTCCCCCTGTCTTTGGTTCACGACGAGATAACAATTAGAGAGGCGGTAACGTAATTGATTTTTCGTGGTGTAACATAGTCAACCTCAACTCGTCCAACTACAATCTATCCTGATATGCTTGCTTTGTATGATATTATTACAAATATTCCGTTGAGAACGAAAAATTGTCTCTGAATAATCATCATAAAACAGCGCAAATTCATGGGGATTAATTATAATTAAGAATGGCAAAAATAGAAAAGAAAAATCAATAACCACTACTCCTCGTTCTCCTTCGACTACTAGTAAGTAGTGGGTGGTAAATTATGCTCTCTTAAAGAAAAAAAATGTAATACATATATAACAATATAATCAAAAGAAACATACATTCACAACAATAAGCTGATACCATATCCATATTTATACATGATGATTGATTAACTAATCCAGATTGATTAGTGGTTGTTAGTGAGTTTTGATTTTCAACATTTGTATTCGATAATAATAATGACGCTGACGACGATGGTAGAGAAGTAGGCGTCGGAGGACTATGACTAATAGGAAATATAGGAGGTTCACGAGATGTTGGAGGAGCTGGTGATAATGATAAAACTTGATGCAATCCTAATCGATAGAATATATTAGCAGGAGAGAAAGTATGCCATAGTGGATGATGAGCATCTGGAGAATCTGTTGATGATTCGTTATTATTATTATTATTTCGATGGCCATCTAAACGACCTATAATTTATTAAAAATAAAAAAATAATTGTAAGAAAAACAAACTAGATGAAAATTTTAGAAGAGAGCATGTTAAGCAGGGAGTTTTTAAAAAGATCCCATGAACAATGCTGAGGTTAGGCATAGGGTTTAACCTCTGAATGATTTAGTCGGTATCTAACGGTGTTAATGTCTAACTTGGAGGAAGTTTCTCCGAATTCTAGTGAAAAGTCGTGATCAGTGGAGTTTAACTCTGTTCGGGTGTGAAACAGTGCTTAAACGAAGACAGTGGATGAGTTTGCACAAGACCGTGGATTGTTCGAAATTAGATATTAACACCGTTAGATACTGGATCAGTGGTCCAGAGGTTAGGCGTTTGCGCGCAAGCACACTCACATGTTTGATAGCTTAATTTTATTTTACAAGTAAGCTATATTAATTACATAAATCGTGTAGCTTCTCTTTTGACTACCCTAAGCAACAATGCAAGCATGTTCGGGATGCGATTTTTCCCCTCGAAATGCAAAATGTTGCTTCAAGATTGTGTTGCATCGGCATCTGAACTAGTAATAGGGAGTAAAGTGGTTGAGTGTGTTGACCGCTTTACTTATCTTGGTAGTCTCAGGAGTGCTGATGGCCTGGTGTGTGACGAAATCTCAGTACGGATGCAGAAGGCTCGATTAGCTTTTGCCAACTTGCGTCACCTTTGGCGCAGACGAGATATCCGTTTACTAACCAGTCAGTTACAACGTAGAACTTCGTATGTAAGTACATCAAGTTCAAGCTGCCATACCACATTAGCACAGAGACGCAAGTGTCACTTCAAATCCCATAGTAGTAGAAGTATTAGCAGTAATCGGAGAGATTAGGGTTCGACGATATCATTAAAGAAGTAGAATCTCAATAAATGAATAGTCAACTTACCAAGTTCATTGATCACTTCAGGTGTTGATAAAAAATAACCATTCGGTATACTTGTTTGTCGTAAAAGTGTTGAACTACACGTTGATGGTAATTTCAAATGTTTCAATCCTGGTATTCGTTTATGACGTGGTTGATTCTCTGATTTTTGTGATAATAATTGTTCTTGTGATTGTGAATTATTATTTTCATTCATATTTAATTCATTATTTGTATTGTTATTATTATTATTATTACCATTATTATCATGACTACTACTACTACTACTAATAGTACTACTTATTTCTGATGTTGTCCCTGTTGTTGTGGTTGTAGATGTTGCGGATGTTTTATTCAACAGTGTTGATGACAAACAATCTAAATCAATTATATCAGGTAAGATTGTTTGAGTTGGTGCATCAATTTTCTGAATCATTAACGTTGATTCCGATGGCATAGATTGTTGATTGGATCGATTGATACATTGATGTGAAAGAATATCATGTTTATTCGGAGGTATAGGTGTAGTCAGTGGAGTATTAGTTGTCACAGTGTTGATAGGCTGTGTAATGTAATATATATATACATATATACAAATATACGTAATATAGAAATATTTAGAATATAGCGTATATAATAATAACAATAATTAATGAATAGGTGTAGTTGTGATATCATATTATAGAATAGCGTCCTACTGTATATTTGATTTTTTCAACAATAGTAGCCAATATATATCTATGGGAAGTAGTTTAGCGCGTCAACTGCATCATTTATCTTAGGAGTCTTATCAGTCCTGGATATACAGGTGTCGGAAGAAATTTCGGGAAACAATTCAAAAGGCTCAATTGGCTTTTAATTAGTTCGAGTCACTTGTAATGCAAGCAAGATATCTGCTGTTTGTCAACCAAATGGTAAGTTCGCTGTGCAACAGTTCACTCTGTCCTACTTTATGGCGGGGGGGGGGTGAATTATGACCATTAAGAATAGAAGATAGTCGTCAGTTGCTAGTATTCGATCATAGGTACCTTTGGAGCATAATTCGCGTACTGTGGGACAACAGCATGCATTGGTTACGAATAGGATACTAGGTAAGTGCTACGCCTGAACGTAAACACGTCATTTTGATATGCTTGAACTATTACGAGTTTACCTAGTCGGAAAACGAGAGCGAGGATCGAGGATCCGGAGACACGACATGCTACACAAATCCGATTATTCCAACCCCCATATTGAGTAAAAATAAGAAGACATGATATGAAGTAGAACCTGTTTTCTACATACATCCAGAAAGTACGAGGTCCGAGTCCAGAAGAGAATCAGGATCAAGGACTAGGCATCTGGGACCGGGTCTTGGTCATAAAACGTTTCAGATAATCCGTATTTATACATTTTGGTCGTATAGGAAACAGCATCGAAGTCTGAGACATTGACAGTTAAGACGACCAATAGGAAGCAACATTTGAAGTGACACTGATAGTTAGGACAACCAATAAGAAACAACATTGGAGCACGTGACATTGATATTAATAGGAATTGACCAATAATTATCTTAGGATATTGGATGAATATCCTAACAGTAAGGACGGTAAATTAACTGATGAAGTAATGAATCTTTATCAACTGACATGGTTAGGACATGGTTTATGGATGCCTAACCAGCACCTACATCAATGAGCGATAATGTCTGGTGTAGGTAGAATTAAGTTGAAAGAAAACTAGGAGTGGTCAAAGACACGGCGTCAGTGGATCAAAACTTTGACAATTGAACTGAGTCATGTGGATGGGCGTAGACTATATGTAGTTGGGATTAGTATGATTATCGTAACCAATAATTTGAGACTGAGTGATACGGTTCAAAGTCATTTGTTTTTCCCAAGTTTCTAAATTCCTTGCTAAATTATACTTTATTGAATTGTATTTTCCATATATAACATTTCCTATTGTCATTGATATTGTTACTATGACTACTACTATGTGATTTAGGGGTTAAAATTGGTATTTTTTAATCACTATAACCATTGTTGCACTTCATATATCCGCTACTAGTATGATCAACTAAATATTAATTGTCAGAATGATTAATCAGTCAGTCAATCGCAACGTAGAACCTTATATATATATATATATATATATATATATATATATGCATCGGTTCAAATTGCAATACCTTATTAGCACAATCATGTGAAATTGTTTGGATCAATTCCAGAGTAGATCTAGTAACACTATCAATGGACAGATTGAAGATACGATACAATTAAACTGTCCAGTTCCCAGAATATAAATCAGTAACATAACAACCAAGTAGTTCAAACTTATTATAACATAGCTTAGTCCAGTTGTCAGTGACCTCATGAATTTGTGCCATACTTTGGTCTGGCTGCCCCAAGATTTTTTCCAGCTTATTTTACTATATCAAACAACAACGCTCGTCAAAGCAGTCGGTGATGAAGATTCTCTACTTCATCGACTGATCTGACATCTTATCTAGTACCCGTTTTCTAACACCAGCGCTACTTACTCGAAGGTTCCATGATATACGATCATTGGCTTCGAAGACATCTATGATTGAAAACTAGTAACCTACTCTTACTGACTATGTTTCACATCCGCAAAGTAGGACTGAGCAAAATGGTGCGCAATAGACTCGTCTTTTGGTTAGCAGGCTGAAATCTCACCTACGACATTAGTAACGCAAGTTGACAAAACTAAGTTGAGCCTTCTATATCCGTTCTCAGATTTCATTACAAACCGGGCCATCAGGACTGATGAAACTTCCGAGATAAGTGAAGCGATCAACACGCTTAACTGCTTCGCTCGTTGCCACCAGTGATAAAAATGACGTGGTGAATAGTAGTTTCATGAATAAATAACTCCTCCATATATATTCATCATTAGATATATTTTGGAAGATAGGTTTTGTGGTCCGTCTGAAATACTATTTAGAAGTGATCAATAATCATTGAAGGCTGATTCACTTTTGATCTAGTTCATGAGAATGAACGAATCCTATCGACTAAACTGCAATTCAGCCACTAATCTATGTGATTCAACATAGTGAGCATTATCATTGACTGACACACATAGTTGGGTTCAATAGGTATAGAAATCTTAGACCTACGTTACGTGTTGATTATAACTAACCAGTAGAGGAAAACAAAGTTCCTACTAAACTATTTCACATGAAAAACAAGATTACAAACAATAGAATACAATCGAAATCAGATTAGATTGTGGAATATGTATGGTGCTTGTGTATTCTCTAAGCTAAATAGATGGTTTAATCGTAGAGCTATAACTGTAGTCCTAGGTAACGACATCAACGCTTATATAAAATAGAAGTGAATTTCTTGGTTTTAGATCAATTTAACATGATAGCTTAATTTGTGATTAGTTGCTTTTCCAGATTGATTTTTATCACCTTTAACCCTTGGATTCTAGTTGACAGATTTGTTCCGCTAACCCTTGAACATAATGTGTTGATAGGTCAGGTAAAATTCGACGTATCTACCGCCATGCTTCTAGAAATTTTTAAGGGATCATATCAATCATTATTAGGAAAAAAAACTGTGACAATACTCATGAATGGTATGTAATGTGAAGGTCAGTCAGTCAGTCAGTCAGATGCAACGTAGAACTCTGTACATAAGTACATCAGTTCATGTTGCCATACCACATCAGCACAGAGAAGTAATCGTCAATTCAAATCCAATAGTAGAAGAGGTAGTAAGGGAATTAGAAGTAATCGGAGAGGTTAGGATTAGAAGATATTATTCACGAAGTATGATTCAATGAGATAAGTTTAGAAAGTAAAAACTAGAGGGGTTGAAGAATCCAGAAGATTAGGATTTGAGAGAACACAAAGAATAAATGCACTGGCGCCATTGCGAACGATTTTGAGCCATGTCATTCAAGGTCTCTAACCATCGATTATTATCATCTCGCGATGTAATGTGAAGGACTAATTAAAAATTAAACCTAAGACAATGTATACATAATCTATAGTTCGTTCATAATAATAATAATAATAATAATAATAAAAATAATAATAATAATAGGAAGAATAAGAATAATTTACATTATAACTTGGCATTACTTACTTTATCAAGATTATTATTCATTGAATTTGAAGTGAATGGATTGATAAGATTTTGATAAATACCACTACTATAATCATCCATTGGTTCATGTTCATCACATGAATCCGAGTAGTTATGTTTATTACCTAAATGTGGTAAATCTTGCAGTCCAAGTTTGACAGATACTATGCCAAAAAAAAAACAAAAAATAAATTTAAATACACATAGAGAAAGATTGTATTACCTAGAATTCTTTCTTTTTTTGTTTTGTTTATAATAAAACATTAATAGAAAAAGATTGTAATCAGTGTCAAGATTTTTAATTATTGATCAACAATCCTAAAAAACGGATGCTCAAACTTTTTGTTATGATGTGCGTTGTCCGAGTTCTGAGAGCGAGATACGTGATAACTAACTGTTGGGGACGTTAGATCCTCAGAACTCACTAAGAATTGTTCCTCGTTTTGGATTTTTTTTTTATGTTTTCGCGGACAAGTTGATCAGTTGACCTTGAGATTACATTTCCCACTCGGACAATCCTTGACTGTCATTGGTCGATGTATTATTTTAGTATTCTATTTTGTGGCTCTCACAAGGATGTTTCTATCTTGTATAAATAAACTCGATTTGTGTGCTTGTGAACCTTATATTTTCTGGGTGCTTGTAGAATACACTTTCTACGCTATATCAAGACTTCTTGATATAGTTAGCCGGGCCGAGTAAGCAATGTTGTCGTTAGGAAACGAGTACTAGGTAAGGATGGCAGATCAATAGATGAAGCATTGAAACTCCATCAGTTGAGGTGGTTGGGACATGTGTTGTGTATGCCTAACCACCAACTGCCTCGAAGAGCTTTGTTTTGCACTGTAGGAGTAGGTTGGAAGAAAGTTAGGGGCGGTCTAACCAAAACATGGCACAAATCCATGAAGTCAGTGACAAGTGGACTGAGTCATGTTGGTAAGTGTAGACTACCTGGTTGGGGTCCGCGAGACATAAGTCACAAATGGTTAGAGACCTTCAACGACATGGCTCAAAATCGTTTGCAATGGCGCAAGTGCATCCATTCATTGTGCTCTCTCAAATCCTTTGTTTTTCTAACCTAATCTCACTGAATTATATTTCTTGAATAATATCTTTAAACCCTAGTCTTCTTCATTACTATTAATACGTCTACTATCTCTATCACTATGGGATTTGATTTGACATTTGCGTCTGTGTTAATGTGGTATGGCAACCTGAACTTATGTACATACGTACGAAGTTCTACGATGCAACTGACTGACTGAGTTAGCCGGGCCAGGGACAACGGATTAGAATAGCCTATCATGTCACTGTATCATTTGTCTTCGTCCCGTTTACCGAGTAAGGTGAACTCGTAACAGCATTCAAGCATATCACTCCCCAAAACTGGCTACTTGAACGGGAAGTCAAAAGCAGAAGAGAATGTCTATTCGGTTACCGAGTCGTATATATAAGCACTCGTTTATATATAAGTTCCATCTCCTTAGAAAAGCAATTTCCTGTCCTTTATTACTTTTCCTGATGATGATCAAATGGCTTCCACATTTAGCCACGTCTGATTGACTCAATCCGTAGTGTACAGTTCGCTTGACTATTTTCCACTCTCTGTGATGAAACTAAACAACGATGCAGTGTCGTTTTGAAACAGAATTTTAGATTTATAATGAAAGGAACAGACATTACACATTCTTGTCTCAGTATGTATGACATAGGGAAGACTGTATATATTTTTTTAAAGGTCGTCACTACAGCTGACTAAACATACTCTAAGTCTACAGGCACGTGACCAATCTTCAGAAAGTGATACAAGGAAATGTGACTTTCATAAACCAGAAGAAATCTCTCATGTAATGCGTGATTTAAAGTAGATTTTTATTTCTTAATCTAAATATGATACACATTCTTACATTTGATGAATTTACAATTGTTCAAGTATAATTGTTTTATCTAATTGGGATTGGTCAAACATACTCTGATCAATGGAAAATACACGATTATACACATAAATCCAGGTGTGTAATATATTTTTAAAAAAAAATTTTTTCAACAAATGAAATTTTTGCAAACAAACAAACTGTGTATAGTATTTAACTTCATCATCACATCTGCATGAAATATCTTTAAGTAATCAATAATCAAGATGATGATAGCTACGTCATCGAGAAATAATCTAAGCAATGCACGGGATTCGTGTTGAATGTGCACGCATTATTTGTCAATGATAAATAAATGTGAATTGTATAGGCATATAGATAAGTTGTGCAACATTATTGAGAGATAGATAGACAGATAGACAGATAGAGAGACAAACAGACAAGCATATATCAATAATTTTTCTTATTTAATAATAAAGTCATTTGGCTGATGTGTATTGGAAAGCAAACAGACAAATAGACGACAATATTCAATCATGAAAGTATGTAAAATAAGCAATGTGCTTTTGTGCATTGGTAAATTTACCTACATTTTTTTAAAAAAGAAACATGCACAAGTGCGTCAGTTTATTTACACAGACTAAATACAGAGTTATGTTAATTGGAAAATTAATGTTTGATTGCCTATGCATGCGCACCAGAAAAAAAAAATTAAAATTAACATGTGATAATAGAGAGAGAGAGAAAAATTAGCACAGTTTCTAGAAAGAAATATGTTTTGATTTTTTTGTCATGCAAATTTGTGTACCTAACTTTCTGTCTGTTTCTTCTCGTGTGTGCGTGTGTGTGTGTGGGTATGTTAAAACATGTATGATTAAATGATTACTGATGAATAATGCACTTTAAGGATGAACAATTATATACTACTGATATAATTTATTGAATTTAAAAACAATGAAAGAAACAGCTTATATTATTTAAGTAATTATTTGCTTTATTACTGAAATCATGACTCGATTATTGGTAGATTACCATTAGAAACTAGCCGTTTCGTCCTGGTATGGGACTCATCAACAGTACTTACTTACTTACTTACGCCTGTTACCCACAATGGAGCATAGGCCGCCAACCAGTTTTCTCCAACCAACTCTGTCCTGGGCTTCCCTCTCCAGTTCTGTCCAATGTTTGTTCATTCCTCTCATATCTTTCTCTATTTCTCGGCCTAATGTGTCCCTTGGCCTTCCTCTTTTCCTTTTGCCTTGAGGGTTCCATGTGAGGGCTTGTCTCGTGACGCAGATAGGTACTTTTCGTAGTGTATGTCCTATCCACTTCCACCACTTCTTCCTGATTTCCTCCTCCACTGGAATCTGGTTTGTTCTCTCCTACATTTCGTTGTTGCTGATGGTGTCTGGCCAACGAATACGAAGTATTTTGCGTAGACAACTGTTAATAAACACTTGTATCTTCTGGATGATGGCTTTCGTAGTTCTGCAAGTTTCCGCTCCACACAGTAGAACTGTCTTGACATTTGTATTGAAAATCCTGATTTTGGTCCTGGTTGAGAGTTGATTGGGGCTCCAGATATTGCTCAACTGTAAAAATGCAGCCCTTGCTTTGCCAATCAACGACCTCACATCTGCATCCGATCCACCTTTCTCGTCGATGATGCTGCCCAGATATGTAAAGTTGTTTACGTCCTCCAAAGAATCTCCATCAAGAGTGATTTGGTGGGTGCATATTCTGTTGCATCGGAAAATTTCGCTTTTTCCTTTATGTATGTTGAGACCTACTGCTGCAGAGGCTGCTGCTACACTGGTCGTCTTCTCTTGCATTTGTTGTTGAGTGCGCGATAGGAGAGCCAGGTCATCTGCCAAGTCCAGATCGTCGAGCTGCGTCCTAACTGTCCAGTTGATACCGTGCTTCCCTCTAGACGTCGCTGTCTTCATAATCCAGTCGATCACCAGGAGAAAGAGAAAGGGTGAGAGTAAGCAACCTTGCATCACACCGGTCTTCACCTCGAAAGAGTCTGTCAGCTGACCTCCGTGCACGGTTTTGCAGTTGAATCCATCATAAGAATTCCGTATGATGTTGACTATTTTCTCAGGCACACCGTAGTGTCGAAGAAGCCTCCACAGTGTTTTCCTATCCACACTATCAAATGCTTTCTCGTAGTCGATGAAGTTGATGTAGAGTGGTGAGTTCCATTCAATTGATTGTTCCACAATGATCCGTAATGTAGCAATTTGGTCAGTACAAGATCGATCCTTACGAAATCCGGCCTGTTGATCTCGAAGTTGGGCGTCTACGAAGTCTTTCATTCTGTTTAACAATACCCTGTTGAAGACTTTGCCTGGTATTGAAAGAAGAGTGATGCCTCTGTAGTTTTCACATTTGGTGAGATCGCCTTTCTTTGGTATTTTGATGAGGTATCCTTCTTTCCAATCTGATGGTACTTGTTCCTCATCCCAAATCTTCTTGAAGAGGATGTAAAATATTTTCGCAGTTGCTTCTACATCTGCTTTCATTGCCTCTGCTGGAATGTTGTCTGGTCCTGCTGCTTTGCCGCTCTTGATTTGTACTCATCAACAGTGCGCATCCATAACTCCTGCTACTCGCACGATTCAAAACACGGCTCGTCGGTGTAGCGTGCGAACGCCTAACTCTGATCAATCTAGAGATTTTGAGCAACCTTACCCATTTGTCTTCTGCAGTTACTGCTTACACTCAACAGGACTGAGCTCTACTGTTCACGTCTTCTCAGCAGAACTCAGAGAATTTCCTCAAGAAGCTAGTCACTAAAGAGCACGGTGTATTATTTGCCTGTTTTTTGGTTACACAATTCCAGATTCAATAATACAACTCAGTGGATCAATAAACGAGGGTGAGTAAACTCACAAGCAAATGTTGAGCTGAAAATTTCTATGAGTAAGTTGATGATACACTGTACAATTTGGTTTCACACCAAGTCTAAATTAACTCGGTGTTTACTGATTAACAGTGGCTTGATTGGATGATATAGTTTATTTCGTCACATAACTACAATCTTAAATAACCAATGAACAGATAATACAATGACTACACATAAATATAGTAAGTGACTTTTTCTTTTGGGTTGTAGGCAGTACAATTCATAAACTATAGTAGTCATTCATACACACACTAAGTTAGATAGGAGAATGGAAGACCTACAAAATATTGAATACCATCAATCGCCTATGGGATCGAACTATGTTTATTTCCCTGTTTCTTATTCATGTATGCTACAGTGGGATCAAGACCAATTGTAAAAG